CTGGCTCGTCTCCTCCCCGAGACCCCTCTGCAAGGGGATCTCCAGTGGACTGGCCCCTTTCTTCTGTGCTCACTCCAGTCCAGTTGACCCATCTTGCCAGGTGCTTTCCTGCCTCAGGACCTTTGCACTTGCTGGCCTCCATGCCTGGAGAGCATTTCTCTTAGTGACTTGCTTCCCTGCTTTTCATCTAGCCCTGCTCTGCCATTAGTGATCATCCTCCTTAAGATTGCAACCCCACATCCATTTCCTGTTGCATCTCCTGCCTTTTCTCCTTAGTTCTTATTACCAAGTAATGGATCAAAGGTTTTGTGATTTTATTTTCCTATTCTCACTCTCTCTGCTAAGCAGACTATAAGCCTCATATGTGCAAGGAATGTTTTCTATTTAGTTACTGCTTTATCTTTAGCACTTAGAACCATGCCTGGCTCATATCTATTCAATAAATATTCTGCCTGGATGCATTTCAGCTATATTATCAGTGTTAGCCCAAATAGTCTATACAAACAAATCCAGTGACACTCATATGTATAAAAAATGCTTCAGATCAACAAGTAATCTTATATTGGGCATCCCAGCCCAATCCAACTCAAGTCTACCAGTCCAATGCAAGTCAAGGCGCTCTTCAGAAACTTGTAGCTGCAGGCTGGTGGTGCAGAAAAGTGAAGCAGGAAGCAGTAAGATCCCAGGCCAGTGGACACAGAGTCATGTGGATCCAAGGTTGGTGGAAACATGGCAGGGCACCGACAGTGTTCCAGGGACAGCAGCCCACTTGGGGCCATAGAGGCAGGCAGAGTTCTAGCAGGCAGGGAGGTGGAAAGGCAGAGAGCAAGAGAGAGATTCCCAGTTCCCCCCACCCCAAGGAGGCATTCTAAGGTTGTGACCTAATTGACAGGTTGGATTCCGCCCCTACACTTCCATAAGAATTCAAGTTGACATAAATCTGTAACTACCACATTATCTAATATTTTCGTCCCGCTCTGCCTTAGAGTCTAACGAGCTATGATGTCTGCAGCATATTTCTTGGGACCTCTACTCTGCTTGTGTGGCTTGGAGTCATCCGCTACCTCGGGTTTTTCCAGAAGTACAACGTAAGGAATTCGACAGCTCTCTGTGCTGTTTCTATTTCCCCTTCAGTTATCGATGGCACTGCTTTGGATGAAGACCAAAGGAATTCTGATGGCCTCTCTTCCTTTTGCAGCTCCTCATTCTGACCCTTCAGGCAGCACTGCCCAATGTCATCAGGTTCTGCTGCTGTGCGGCCATGATTTACTTAGGCTATTGCTTCTGTGGGTGGATTGTGCTGGGCCCTTACCATGATAAGGTAAGGAGCCTTCTGGTTCTCTTCTCCTAAGATTGATCTGTTCCTTCTCTGGAAGTCCACAGTATGTGAATCACCAACCTCACAGCTCTAATATGTGTTGTTACATATATGGCTTTCATTGGCTATATTTTGGAAGTAGATCGCCTGGCCTTTCTGTTAGTCTGTTCTACTTGGAAAGTTTTGTCGAAGCCTGTCCACTATGGATGACCCTGCTCATGTGAAATGCCGGTGGTGTAGCTAGCATTGCAACACATAAGCTACCCCCGTACAACAAACTGGCAGGTGGGTGTTTTGCACCACATGCTCAAAAGCCCCCAACCAGACTCATTGCCTTTGAGTACATTCCTACTCACAGCTAAATTGGTTCCTCCTCATTGTGACCCTATGGGACACAGTAGAGGTGCCCCTTTGCACTTCTGAGACTTTAAATCTTTATGGGAATAGACAGCCTCACATTTCTCCTGTGGAGTGGCTGGTGAATTTGAACAGCTGACCTTGTGATTAGCAGCTTAGTACATAGCCCACTTCACCGCCAGGGCTCCTTGCTTTATATGCTTTATATACTAAAGAGAAGGCTATTTAGATAAGCCTTTTCAAACTGTGACTTTGTAAAAAGCAGTCTTAATTACATTTTTCTTTGAACTAGAACTATATTGTCAAAAGGAACTCTTTTGGCATTATGGGATAAGTGTGCTAAGAACTGCAAAGTTGATGGTTCCAAACCACTAGCTGCTCTGTGGGACAAAGATGAGACTTATTGTTCCTGTAAAGATATACAGTCTTGGAAACCCTATATCAAATCGAAATCAACTCAAAGTTTTGTATGTGTTTTTATAGTCTCAAGGGCCTTGGTGGTGCAGTGGTGAAAGCTTTTAGGTGCTAACTAAAACATCAGTGGTTCAAACCACCAGCTGATCCTCAGGAGAAAGATAGAGCAGGCTGCTTCTATAAAGATGTAACCACCTGGGAAACCCTATGGGAAAGTTCAAATGTATCCTACAGGGCTGCTAGGTGTTGAAATCGACTCATTGGCAGTGGGTTTGTGAGTTGTTGTCATTTTATAGTCTCAGATAGGTGACATTGGTAGTTCCGCGGTAGAACTCTTGCCTTCTAGGTGAGAGACCCCGTTCAGTTCCCAGCCAGGGTACCTCATATGCAGTCACCAGTTATCATTAGTGGATGTACGTGTGTTGCTTTGTTGCTGAATAAGTTTTAGTGGAGCTTCCAGATTGAGATAGACGAGGGAGAAAGGCCTGACAATTTACTTCTGAAGATCAGGGTCAGCTAATCAAAGCTCTGTGGATCATACTGCTTTTACTCACCACCAATCATGGTGATAAGGCAGGACCTGGCAGCATTTTGTTCTGTTGTGCTGATAACACTAGTCCGAAATAGCATTGCCTTAAAAGAAGTGGACTTTCAAAATGAGAGGTGTGGGGTGTTAGGGTAGGTTGTCTAGAGAAGCAAATCCAGGGACACGCATCGATATATCAGCAAACACTTTAGATTAAGAAGTAACTACACACAGAGAAGGCATCCCAGCGCAGTCGGACTCAAGGCCATCTTCCGAGTCCCTCTTCAGACTCACAGAGCCATCTGCAGTGCTGCAGAATGCCAGAAGCTCACAGGCTGGTGAGCTGGTGCCTCCAAGGTCAGTGGAAACATGGCAGGGCTCTGGCAGCTCTCAGGCTCAGTGGCCGAATTCCAGTAAGTAGGAAGGCCAAGGGGCAGAGAGAGGGGGTGGGGATCCCAGTTTCTCCTCCCTCCCCTGTATAAGAAGACAGCAAGCCCACGGGGGCATCATCAGGCTGTGACCGGAGTGACAGGTTGGACCCCACCCTTACACTTTCATACATCTTCACGTTGACATAACGTGAAGTACCACCTATGTACCACCTATGGGCATGCCTGGTTGGCACCTGAATACCTTTGTACAGTTTTTCAAAGAGTCTTTCCTCTGAAGTCAAGGGAAAGGGGTAAGACTTAACTCAGAAGGGGTCTAAAGGTACAGGCTGCCCTTTCTGCCTTGAGTTCAGGCTTCTTCTAGTTAAAGGAGCATTCTAGACGGAGCTGCTTGTCCCAGAAAAGACAGTACATGTGTCATGTGTCTGACAACGCAAATGCTTGTGGTTATTCATTCGAAAAGGGAAACTTGGGATATTGGGTCCCCTTATGTTTCATAGGATTTCACGAACAAAGTCTGCAACAGGAAGGGACGTCGGTTAACAGTACCTTTGTTCTCTCTTTTCTCTCCCAGTTCCGTTCTCTGAACACGGTCTCTGAGTGCCTTTTCTCTCTGATAAATGGAGACGACATGTTTGCCACATTTGCAAAAATGCAGCAAAAAAGTTACTTGGTCTGGCTCTTCAGCAGACTTTACCTCTACACATTCATCAGCTTGTTCATATACATGATTTTAAGTCTTTTCATCGCACTCATTACTGACACTTATGAAACAATTAAGGTAAGTTTATGAAGAGCTCTAAGAAACAGCATTTTTATAAAACTTGTATCAAAACCAAACTCCACTGCCATGGAGTTGATTCTGATTTACAGCAACCCTACAAAGCGTTTCAGAGGCTGTAAATGTTTATTGGAGCAGGAAGCCTCATCTGTCTCCCGTAGAGCAGCTGGAGGATTTGAACAGCCAACCTGCAGTTAGCAGTCAAACCCAGCAGCACCTCCAGGGCTCCAGTGGTAGTAAAATTTCTAAGAGGGGCAGAAGGAGCCCTGGTGGTGTAGTGAATTATGCATTGGGTTGCTAACCACAAGGTCAGCAGTTTGAAACCACCAGGTGTTCCATGGGAGAAAAACGAGGCAATCTACTACCATCAAAAGCTCCAGTCTTAGAAACCCACAGGGGCAGTTCCACTCTGTCCTGTAGGGTCATTATGAGTCAGAAACACCTGGACGGCTGTGAGAAGACGGGGCAAAATCAATGGGATGATGAAATCTTCAGGGTGAAGATTGAGGAACAAGAAATGAAGAAGTAGAATGTTGAAAGTTTAGTCTCTGAGTAATTGTGGTTTTTCAAACTTTTATTAGAATTATATTAGTCAACAGGTAAGTAAAACAGATGGTGTTTCAGTTCCCAAAAAGTGTGTGTGTGATGGTGGAAGGGACCTTTTAATTTTCAATCATTTTATTGGGGGCTTGTACAACTCTTATCACTATCCATACATTCATCCTTTGTGTCAAACACATTTGTACATTTGTTGGCATCATCATTTTCAAAACATTTTCTTTCTACTTGAGCTCTCGGTATCAGCTTCTCATTTTTCCTCCTCTCTCCCCACCCTCCTCCCTCATAAACCCTTGATAATTTATAATTTATTATTATTTTTCATGTCTTACACTGACCGATGTCTCCCTTCACCCACTTTTGTTGTACATCCCCATGGGAGGGGGTTATATATAGATCATTGTGATCAGTCTCCCCTATCTTCCCCCACCTTCTCCTTACCCTTCAGGTATGGCTACTCTCAATATTGATCCTGCGGGGTTTATCTGTCCTGGATTCCTGTGTTTCCAGTGCTTATCTGTACCCGTGTACATGTTCTGGTCTAGCCAGACTTGTAAGGTAGGATTGGGGTTATGATAGTGGGGGGCAGGAAACATTAAAGAACCAGAGGAAAGTTGTATGTTTCATCATTGCTATACTGCACCCTGACTGGTTCATCTCCTCCCCGTGACCCTTCTGTAAGGGGATGCCAACTGCCTATAGATGGGCTTTGGGTCTCCATTCCGCACCTGCCCTCATTCACAATGATATGATTTTTTTGTTCTGGGCCTTTGATGCCTGATACCTGATCCTATCAACACCTCATGGTCACACAGGCTAGTGTGCTTCTTCCATGTAGATTTTGTTGCTTGTCAGCTAGATGGCCGCATGTTTATCTTCAAGCCTTTAAGACCCCAGACACTATAGCTTTTGGTTGCCAGGCACCATCAACTTTCTTCACCACATTTGCGTATGCACCTGCTTTGTCTTGAGTGATCATGTTGGGAAGGTGAGCATCCTGGAATGCCAGGTTAATAGAACAAAGTGTTCTTATTGAGGGAGTACTTGAGTAGAGGCCCAATGTCCATCTGCTACTTTAATACTAAACCTATAAATATATGTACATAGATCTATTTCCCCATCATCATATATAAATATATTTACATATGTACATGCCTGTATTTAGACCTCTATAAATGTCCTTTGCCTCCTAGTTCTTTCCTCTGTTTTCTTTTACTATCCTCTTGTCGCTGGGAGCTTTTTAAATCTAATTTTCCTAAGGAAACATTTGTCTCTTCACTTTGGGTGTGTTGTTATAGCACCCATTCATCTTGATGAGGTCTGCCATGCTATAAGAGCCAGGGACCCAGTAAAGAGAGAGATGCTTGTGTGGCAAGTACTAGCTCTGCATCCTTTCTACATTTAGAAATGTGTTCGGGAAAACTGTTGATATTTTTATTGGCACTTTGAGCCCTTTGAAATATGGTACAGCAGAACAAATATCTCAACATCATTTAAATTTTTAATAACTTTATACTGTTAGGCGTGATATTGGCATAGGCATTTCTACTTGGGACTTTGGGTGGAGGGGGAGGATGTGGTGCCTTCTGATTGGCTGCAGGAATAAAGAGAAGGTATGGTTTAGACCAGTGGTTCTCAACCTTCCTAATGCGGTGACCCTTTCATACAGGTCCTCATGTGGTGGTGACCCCCCAACCATAAAATTATTTTCAATGCTACTTCATCACTTTAAGTTTGCTACTGTTGTGAATCAGGTGACCCCTGTGAAAGAGTCTTTCAACCCCCAAAGGGGTTGTGACCCACAGGTTGAGAACTGCTGGTTTAGACTCTAAATTTTAATGTTAATAAATATGAGTACTTTATTGGTGAGGGAGGAAGAGGGGGATTTCTACTCCCATAAAGAGTTACAGTCTTAGAAACTCACAAGGGCAGTTTTACCCTGTCCTACAGGGTTGCTATCAGCCAGAATTGAGTCAATGATGGTGAGAGGTTTTGTTTGTTTGCTTGTTTTGTGAAGTCAGAGCCATGGCTTCATTCTTATCGAGCCAGATGTCAGGGCCTGGCTGTCGTCCTCCCTCTCAGTATGTGTCTAGTAGATTTGGGCCTTGGGCCCCAGGGAGACTGGGAAAGACTGTAGTTGTGGCTGCATTTGCTCCAATTCCTCCCGTACCACTGCCATCCAGGCGATGCCGAGTCATCTTCAACTCTGTGTGCTGAGAACCATGCAAGCCAAAGGGGGAAGTCCAGGATCCCAATAGGAACATGGATTGATAGCTTGTGAATGACATATACCTCAAACCGCAGGATATGATATTTTAGATATTAGCCTTTTTCCATGGCTTAGAGCACTTGTCAAATGTGCAAGTTAAGCTATTTCTAACCCTTTCTGGTAAGAACATGCCCTAGAGATCTTTGACCCTAAACTGATACAAATATGATACACTGAAGCAAACTTACATGTCCGGATGAGGGACTTCAAGAGTGTCTAGGCTGGACATTTACCTTCAGACATTCAGGTACCTTCTGAGCAGACACTAGGCCAGACCAGGAGCTCTTCAGGGGGAGGCTTAATATATTTGTCCCTACCCTGCCTTCTAACGTATACACACACACACACACACTCCCTTCTCCTTTGTTATCTCTCTTAATTTAGATCAGTTGGGCTTCGCTGTAACTTGAACCCTATTCCATCTGAGACATCTACTTCAGACTGGCCTGGAAGTCATGGTGTGTGTGTGTGTGTGTGTGTGTGTGTGTGTGTGTGTGTGTGTGACAGAGTAGTGCCAGAGGTTCTCATCCTTGGGACGGGCCTAGGTCAATTCTCCCTGTAGAGGTTCTAGCTAGCCTCAGGCTCAACATGCTCGATGTGGGGTTGAACTCAACTTCAGACAGAGTGCTCAGTAGGACGACTGCAGAATACTAGACCCACTTTGCTTCAGCCAAAGCTGCAAAGTGAGTCTAGAGCACTGGTTCTCCTAAGGCCGCGACCCTTTCATAGGCCGCGACCCTTTCATACAGTTCCTCATGTGGTGGTGACCCCCAACCATAAAATTATTTTTGTTGCTACTTCATAACTGTCATTTTGCTACTGTTATGAATCGGATGATCCCTGTGAAAGGGTCGTTTGACCCCCAGAAGTAGCTATCTGCTTTTGCAGCCCACCCCCTTTTCGGTCCAGCGCCCCGCAGCGGGCAGGATCACTTACTTTGGGAATCATTGTTCTAGAGGCTACACTATCCTGAAAATTCATGAAATGACTGAACTGTCCCTCCACCTTGCCAAATGATGCATTTTTAATTTGGAATAAGGCTGTTTTCAATGTGCTTATGAATGAATGCCTTTTATTTTTCTGTCTAGCATTACCAACAAAATGGCTTTCCAGAGACTGAGCTTCGGAACTTTATATCAGAGTGCAAAGATCTACCCAACTCTGGAAAGTACAGATTAGACGACGACCCTCCAGTGTCTTTATTCTGCTGTTGTAAAAAGTAACTCTCGAGCTTATCTGTACCCTTGAGGAAAGTAAAACTTGCTGCTGCATTGGGAGACCGTGTGGATATTTTAGAATCAAGGGAGGTATGGTCTAGGACCAGCTATTATTTTGAGCTAATGGCTATCACTCGGAAATATGCTTCTCTATTTTAAAGTGATTTAATGCCTCTTTCGTCTTTAAAAACTGTTGATGGTGGAGCCGTGGGATTTTGCTCTTTCCTTTTGATTTCCCCTAGCTTTAGAGTGTGCTCCTCGTGCCTCTCTTTGTCACTCTTTAGTCTAGCTCTGACACTTTTACTCTCTGCCCCAAGTGCTGATTATGTCATCAGTGGGACCCTGGCCTGACAGTGATGTCAGGCAACTCACTGATCTTGACTGGAACCGTCTCTGAGAGAAGAGGGATGGCTGATGTGCATCCAGCAGTCAGTGTATTTTAAAATTGTACCTTCTGGAAGAGCACCAGAAAGCAACAGCCATCACCAATGGGTGGACAGCTTATTGGATTGCTATTTAGTTCTGCAGAGAATTAGGCTTTGCTTCTTTCAGTGTTAAAGTGCAAAGCTGAAGGACTATCTTGTACACACAGGACAATTAAACCTCAATACCAAATGCATACTCAATGCAAAGATGGTCATTTTATTAGTACTTTGAACAGTTTTGTGAAAACTATGTGATGTACTGTACCCTGTTTGGTGTCCAGAGCTCTAGCTTCATGGGGAAACATTCTCTTAACTCACATTAGAAATATCTGGGGAAAATAATTAGGCTCCAAATTTAAAACTAACTGGGCAAGTGGTCCTTAAAAAGACGCAGAAACAGTGTTCTTAGCCTCTCCTGCTTGTAGGGAAGTTGCAGCGGTTGCCGTGACGTGAATGTCTGTGTACTATTTAAATGCAAATGATGTGCAATAAATGTTCTCAAAACAAGCACCTTGGAAGGAAACTGGTATTTTTCTTGTTTTCCTGGTGGTTGATTGTAAGGGCTAAATGAAGACAGCCTGAGACACACTGAAATGCTGCTGCTCAATCCCAATAACGAGCCCAAGAGCGACCCCTAGGCGTCGAGCTCTGAGCTTTTGCAATGAGCAGAAGCTGTTTTTTGTGTGCCGGTGGCTTTCAAAACACCACGAGAAAAATATGGACAAGTTAGTGAGTCTTTTTCTGGCTTAGTTTTAATATTGACTCCGAGTCATTTCTAGAATTCACTAGAATGCAATGTGAATTTTGGACTTGTGGTTAGTACACGATGAAGCCTTTTCTTCTGGTGGTTTTCTGTTAGACCAGCAACAATAACGTCAGTGGAAACTCAAAACCACTGACCCGCTGTTTGGTCCAGAGTTTTGCTCTGCCTTGAAGTCATTATGCTTCTGCTGTGGAATTACTGCCAGTGGTTTGGCGCCTATATGTCTCTCACCTGATTCTCCAAGCTTTCTTACTGTAAGGGGAGTCCCTGAAAAGTTCCACGGTCTAATTTTTAGTAATGATGCCCAACAGAGAATAACTCTACTATTTAAAAAAGAAACAGCAACAGCTAAATTTTAATAACTGTCCCTAAACCAAGCCAGCGGCCTCTCTGGATTGGCAGAGGAATTATGGGCCTGTTGTTTTAGAGCTTCTCTCCTGTGGACATAAAGAATATCCGGGTAACTGTGAAGGGATAAAGGGTGGAAGACATTTTTTCAGGGGAAACAAAGAGAAGTCCTGGGATTGATTGCTGCTGATGCTGCTAGCTCTGGAGGTCAGCTCCTCGGTGCCCACCCCTAACCCAATCCGTCTCCAGCGTGTGGACATAAGAAATATTGAGAGAGAGGGGCGTCTCTTCGAAGGGTAGATTTCCGGATAGCGCCACCAGAAATTCTTGTCAAGTTCTAGGCATAGGCCAGCAATCCACATTCTTAACCAGCACCCAGAGTGACTCCATGCAAGTGGGCCGAACAGATATATCCCTTGGCTGGGGCTTTTCATTAGTTAGCCTCAGGGCTCAGACTGGCCTTTATTTCTGATGATATAAGTCAAAGGAGAAGCCCCAGGTAAGTGGATTTATAGACATCAACACAGACATTTTAGGATTTGTGTTATCTGTCATTTTCAGTTTTAGGTGCATTTTGATTCTGTGAATGCCACATTGTTTTAAAAGAATTCCCAGGCTTTCTCTCATCACTTGAACAAAGCCTTAAAATATCCAATGCATACCTTGTTTTAATCCTTTCTAAAGCATCTTATTTTTTAATTAATTCACACAAATTGAGACTGTTTTCATTTCCTATGGAAGCTCTAACAAACTTTCCGAAAGCCGAGTGGCCTAAAACAACACAAATTTATTAATCTTACAGTTATCTGCAGGTCCGAAGCCAAAATGTGGTAAATTGTTCTGCTGGGTTTTGGATTTATTGGGTGTTCATTGTCCTTTATTTGCCTCCAATTTCTCCCATTTGGAATGAAAATGTTTGCCTTGTGCCTCTTCCAGGGTAGATGGGAAGCAGATAATTTATTGTTAAGACTTCACAAGTTCACAGAGAAAGTAGAATTTTTCTCTAGGATGGAATGCCCCCAAAATTTCACCCATATTTTATTTAGATGATTCAGAAGATGAAATTTGGAACTTGGAAGTGATTGAAGATTTTTAGGATGATGTGGTGGGGTGAATGTGTTCTGAAAGGGCATGAATTTTGGGGAGGGAGGAAAGGGTACAATGATAATGTGTTGAATTGTGTCATCGCCCCCACCCCCCTGCCCAGAAATATATGTTGTAAATCCTAACCTCTATTCCTGTGGTTATAATCTCATCTGGGAATTATCTATCTTTGTTACAGAAATGAGATAGGATTGGTGTAACCAATAATATCACCACTGCCGTGAAGTCTGTTCTGACTCTTAGTGGCCTAAGAGACAGAGTAGAACTGTCCCATTAGGTTTCTCAGCTGTAAATCTTTACAGGAGCAGAAAGTCTCATATTTCTCCTCCTAGGGAGGGACTGGAGGGTTTGAACTGCTGACCTCACAGTTAGCAGCCCAATACATTACCCACCATGCTACCAGGGCTCCTTGGATTAGTGAAAGGTATGCTTAAATCTCTTGAGATATGTGTTAGTCTGGGTAGACTAGAGAAACAAATTCAGAGACACTCATATGTGTGTAATAAAGAACTTTATATCAAAGCGTAATATATCTTAAGAAAACATCCCAGCCCAGTCCAGCTCCGATATTAGCCCATATGTCCAATACCAGTCTGTAAATTCCTCTTCAGATTCACAACACACGCAATGATGCAGAATCCAGAAACATCACAGGCAAGTGGGTAGAAGGTCTTGTGGATCCAGTGGCGGAGGAAGCATCTCAGTGCTGGTGTAGGTCTCCACGTGGCTCCTCAGTGTAGCTCCATGGCTCTGGCTCCATGAGTGTAGCTCCATGTGGCTTGTCAGCAGGAAGATGAAACAGAGAGTGTAGGTCTGGCTTCTAGTGAAAGCTATTTATTTCTGTCATGCCTCCAGTTGAGGTCATCTACCTGTGACTTGGTTGACAGGCTAGACTCTACCCCTTCGCAAGCTGACAGGAGATTAGGTAACTGCCATAAGATAGAAAGGAGATTAAACATCCAAGCCAGAGAAGCAGCAATAGGGGAAGACATGCCCAGCTAGGTGAAGTTCGTTCAGGAGCAGAAGCTCAGAAAAGACAAAGACCTGCCTCCAGAACTGAGAGAGAAGCCTTCCTCTAAAGCTGGACCTGAATTCAGACTTCCAACCTCCTCGATGCCTATATTTCAGTTCGTTAAAGGCACCCCCTTGTACTATTTCTGTCACCACAGCCCTAGATAACCAAGACAGCAGATTACCAAATCACTTGTTTTTAATCATTTAAAACATGTCTGTTGTTTGACATAAAGAACTTTATTGGGGGAAGGAGGGTGGGGCAAGAGGAGCTGACATCAAGGGCTCAATAGAAAAGAAATGTCTAGAAAATAATGATGGCAACATATGTGCAAATGTGCTCGATAAAGTTTGATGTACGGATTGTTACAAGAGTTATAAGAGCCTTCAATAAAACATTTAAATAAAAAAATTAAAAAAAAAGAAGTTTGTCCATCCAGATAGTGGCCTGGCACACCAGCTACTAGTGACAAGAAAAGTGGGGTCCCCCCCCTTGTTCCCCACACCCTCCTGGTGACCAGAGCCTGACCAGCAGCACCCCCACCCCCAGCAGCCATGACACCCCCTGTTCCAGGCCAGCACTATGTGCTCACAGATCAGGCGCCAGCTGTATCACTCCCACGCCCAGACTTTCTTGAACTGCCCCTCACCCTGCCAGCAGAACACACAGTGCCGGGTCCCCGGTCACTCCTGGATGGGCAGGAGTCACTCCTGGTGACTTCAATCACAGTCACCTTGCCTCCAGCGACGTTCTGGACCTGAAAGAATTCCTTCCAAGAATAAGTACCATCTGAGCCGGGACAAACTACTTCTGGCTAGCAGGAACGCTATCTGGACCCAGTCCCAGCCTCTCTCAACCCAACCGCAGGGTACCAGCCCCTACCTGGTGCTCCAACCACAGTCCTCTCGTGTCTCTGTCTCCAGTTCCGTTTTTGTTCTCTTTTCTCGTTTTCATCCTTTCTCTGCTTTCCCTTTTCCTTTCTTTTCTGCGATGTCTCCTTTCTTTTATCCCTTCATTTCCCCTTAGTTCTCTCTTCACTACTCTTTCTTTTCTGTTCCTTCCCTAGCTTTACTTATTATATTTTCCTTTTCATCTATATTTCTTTTTCCTTTCTTTTCAGTTATTAAGTTCTTTTCTTTGCTGTTGTTGACTTGCTTTCCCCTACTTGTGTGTGTGTTTTGTTTTAATGCTTTCTTGTTTTAGCTGTTGTTTTTGTGTCTACCTCTTTTTCCCCCTGTCCCACCCACCAAGAGCAAAGAGCCTCATCTTTCCCCTGTAGAGGGCTGGTCGGTTTGAGCTGCTTAACCCGCTGTGCCAGCAGGACTCCTTTAGTTACCAATAGGTGTTGCTTTAAGAACATTGAAAAGTCACCTTGTTTAGTAAAGATCTTACTTAGCTTAGGAACGAACCATCATGGTCATTGTTTTCAATGTCTGTGCTTGGCCTGTAATATCATAGTTCAAAAAGCTATGTGCCCTGACTTAGATTTGCAGTGACCAAATAACATAAGAATCTTTTGCTTCATAGTGTCTGATGTATACCCTGGCCTTTGAATGCATGGACCCCAGACTCTTGTCATCAAGTCAACTCCAAGTTCTCACAACTCCAGGTGTGTGAGAGCAGGCCTGCTCTCCACCGCGGTTTAAATGGCTGGTCTTACAGAATAGATCGCCAGGAAATTTTCCGTGGTGCAGTGGCATGAGTTCAACCACTAACCTTTCAGTTTGGAGCTAGGAGCAAGCTGTGCCACCCAGGGGTCTTGAATTTCAATAGAAAATTTCCCTCATATTACAGTTTCACTATTTTACAATGGCAAGGGGGATTTTGTCCTAAATAGTCAAGAAAATATGAATCAAACCATAAAAATGCAAAAAACAACAACAACCTTTTGGGGGCTATGCAAAGAATAATATTAATTGCAGAGTGAATATAAAAGAACAATATAATAATAAGTGAGGGAAAACATGGTGTCCTTTACTTACCTACTGTTCACATCTTTAAGCTGCCCTGGTGGTTTAGTGGGTAACGAGTGGGGCTGCTAACTGCAAGGTCAGCAGTTCAAACCCACCAGCTGCTCTTCAGGAGAAGGATGAAGCTGTTGTGGTCAAGATGTACAGCCTTGGAGACCGAAAGGCACAGATCTACTCTGTCCTGCAGGGTTAATATGAGTCAGAAGCGACTCAATGGCAGTGAGTGAGTGATATGCCCATCCTTTCCAATTTTTGTTTGTCCAAAAAAATCCAAACCAATTGCTATCAAGTGGTTTCCAATACATAGCAA